GAGGCGATCAACTTTGAGCGCCGATCTGACCCCTTCAGAAGTAGTGCGCAATCGCCGGTGGTGGTCTACCACGCGACAAGGAAAAACACTCTCAACTGTTATGCGTCCTTGCTGGCATTTGTCGATCCCTGACGTCAGGGACTCGGACCGACCGCAAGGGACATGCGTCTCTTTGCATTTCTGTCACTCTGGCGCGCTGTCGAGCGCGGGTGCTGTCAGCTTTCGTGAACGCACATCAATAGTCCGGACGGCGCCCCGGGTTGGGACATGATTCCGTCATTGAACCGAATCCCTCGCGTTGTCGGCAGCCGGGACCCTTGAAGGGCTCCTGGAAGCTGGAGGCCCTGGAATTCAGAAGGGGGCTCGGACAAGGGGAATCCGAGCAGCGCAATGAAGAGGCACGAAACGGTGGGACAGACAGGAGGCAGAGGCAGGAACGAGATCAAGCTTGACGCAGGACTCGGGGAGATTAGTCCGGGCTTAAAATATCTGACGTGGGCGCGCAGCATTAGAGACTTCTGTACCGAGTAGAGTGAGTGGGAAATAGGAAGACAACAGGAAGAGGCTGGAGAAGCGCGGCGTGCGGCTGTGTTTGTAAGAGTGAAACTGAGCCGCCGTCGGGAAGTTATTTGCTGGGACCAAGAGTTCGGAGGGACTCCGCGTGTAAAGCCACAGCTATTCCCGGATAAAGGAAGATGCAACGGCGACTGGCCGATGAGGATGAGGAGGGAAAAGAGGGTGGTCAGGGATCTGTTCGATGCTTGAAGCCTGCGGGATGACGCGAAAAACAGCCACACGGGATCTTCTTCTAGACTCCGCCGGGGAAGCCAAATTCTCACCTATGGGGCGCGAGTTCACTAGCACTCTTTACCGAACAGTCTCCTCTCACCATCCGAACCCAGCCGTCTTATTATTCCTATCCGTACTTTTGTTTCTCTTATGTGAATCTCACTGAACCACTCACACTCCGAATGATCCCATGAGCCCCAGCCACGGAGAATAATTAATCAGCTTAACACAAGGAATAATGATGGAGATTGAATGAGAAAAAGTGAGATGGCGGTAAAAATGGAAGCTCAGTGGAAGACTTCCGGGGTTGGTGAAACAGATTGGCAGGTGCCTAATGCGGGACAAGACTCATTTTCCCTGCCAGAGATCATTCAATTTTCTGCGGGGAGTTGCACTCAGTGTGTAAAAATCACCTTCAGGTACCGACGCTAAGATGTAAAGATGCAAAGAAATGGAACTCTTAAGCCATGTTGTTGTGCCGTATTTTCCAGACGAGAGACATTCTAACGTCGGACCCTTGCTCTGTGTCTTTTCTTCTTTGCGTGTAATAGATCATAGACGGTACGAATAGATCATGGATGGCAACATTCGAAGGAACGAGACCTTGGTGCTCTTCACTCGTCCACGCAACACTCAATCTCTTTTCTCACTCCAGCTCATCTCATCTCACACTAACAACTCACGAGACTGATAGAAGGATCACGGCGATTGAAAGTCGCACCGCCGTGCCTCCGCCGCCGCCTCATTCATCCTCCCCGAACTTCCAACGTCCTTCTCCTGTCACTCGCCCTACCCATCATCCCGTCCTTCGGACTCATTGACATAATCCTATCCCTCGGCCTCGCCTTCGCCTTGACATGTCATCCAGACACTGCTCCTCTAAAGTCTCCCCTCCGTCATCCTTGTCCGACCACCCCCGCGTCCTTGCACGCCTTAGTGTCACACACCCCCTCCCCCCTTCTTCTTCCCGCCCACCTCACTTTTCCGAACACAGCATTGGTCCAATGAACATCGCAATGAGCCGTCTGATCCTTCCGAAGGGGGTTGTTTCTCAATGAACTAGAGCTTGCAGTGTGCAGCTTCGCACAGCGCAAAGAGAAGCAAGGCAAGCTGGCAAAGCAAGGTACCGAGTCGCACCAAGGGGGTGTCCTTGCCACAAGATGATCCGTTTCCCAGCCTATGTGAGCTTATTTCCTTGGCTCTGGGTATCCGATCCTTTCACTCGGGCATCTTGTATACTTATTTAACCTCTCTGCTGCCCATGCGTCTCATCGTGAACCCGCGTCTGTAGTGTCTCATCGTAGCAGTCGTATACCTCACTCATCTCACTCACACCTAGAAACACCTCACGCTGCTGTTAATCACTTGAGCATCAGACATCTCACCACCATCATGTACTCAAACGTCTTCCTCCTCCGGTGGGCAGCCACATTATTGGCGTCAACCTCTGCTGGTAAGTTCATCTTCCATAATACCCCAGATTTTTACTCTAAATCTTCAACGGCATCACTAACCCACTCAAAAGTCTACGCCGCCCCCGCGCAGCAATCCCCGGCACTACACCCAAGAGCCGACTTCAACATCCTCGTCGGCGGCAACGTCTCCCTCCGCCTCATGCCCCTCGGCGCCTCAATCACCTACGGCCTCACCTCCTCAGACGGCAACGGCTATCGCAAGGTCCTTCGCGACCTCCTCGTCGCCGACGGGAACCCCGTCGACATGGTCGGCAACCACCCCAACGGCACAATGGAAGACAACGACAACGAGGGCTGGTCCGGCTTCCGCATCGAGCAGGTTCTCGCGAAGGCCAAGATCTCCGTCCCCGAGACGCTCCCGAACCTGGTTCTCATCAACGCCGGCACAAATGACTGCGCGCAGAGCTATGACACGGATAACGCGCACGTTCGCATGCTCGAGATGATGAACTACATCTGGGACACCTCCAAGCGCGCCACAATCGTCCTCTCTACCCTCCTCGTGAACGGGAACAACAACACGGAGGCGTGCGTCCTCAAGGTCAACGAGCAGTACAAGACACTGGCCTCGGAGCAGCAGGCGATTTCCAAGAAGGTCGTCCTCGTGGATATGCACTCCGACAAGGGCCCGCTCAAGAGCGATCTCGTTGATGGCACGCACCCCAGCGATGCGGGCTACGCAAAGATGGCGCACATCTGGTTCGATGGTATCAAGGACGCTGCGTCGCGCGGCTGGCTCGAGTCCCCTCAGCCTCTGCCTGAAAGCAAGAGGTCCGAATGACTCAGAAAGATTGCGCCACTGCTTTACATCGTGTTCCGCTTCGCCGGATCCCCAGAGCCGTCGAGCTCATAATGCACACACCATAGAACAAGGCAAGGACAGGAGGAGAATCGCATGATACAACTGTAATGTTACTGCATCATCGCTTTGCAGAGTAATTAGCAATTCATCAAAACGGCGTTCAGGGTGGGCCACAAAAGGCTTGGAGGATACTTTTTACTTTCAATCTTCAGACAAATCACATAAAATTCAATCGACTCAAGTGTCGATGAGCTAGCCAATGAGACCCATCAAGTGAGATGCTATGACTTTTCTTACCGAGGGAACACAGTAGCTTCCCGAGGATGTGAACGGGTACAACTTCAGATGAGTTGCGTCGATCAGCTGATCGCCGGGATCCACGGTGAGATTAACCTCAGGATGACTCCGCTCGGGTCCGGTACGATCAACCGCAGACTCCATTCTCTCATCACCAAATACTTCATCGCATCTCCAATCATCAAAAAAAAAATTAGCCAACATGTCTCGGCCAGTGTTCGCCGCCGTGTTCCTCTCCATCTTCTATCTAGCCAAGGTCGCAATCTACGACCTCTCCGTAACCAATGGCCTCATGGACTCCACAGAGTCGGCCCTTGCCGGAGAGCCGATTACGTTCACCACGTTGAAGCCGCTGGACAGCCTACTCACCATGCTCGTCCGGTTCTTCAAGCCCATCCTTGACGGCAATGACCCGAATCTTACCTTGTTCTCAATCTTCATGGCCGGCCAACTTCTCGCCGTGCATGTTCTCATTCAAGTTGAAGGTCTGAGAGCCGGAAACCGAGAAAGACTGGTCTCCTAGTGAGTTCGTCCTTGACAACCTCAGTAGAAGCCAACCCTGACAAGTGAATAGCACGACCTCCTGGGGAATGCTCTGGCAACTCATGACCTTCGGCGCCACTCTACCGCTCTATTTCCTCGCATACCTCTACACCTCCCCGATCCCAGGGTCCTTAACACCAGACGAACTCGCAGCCGCAATCTCCATCGACCCAGTCCAAGCTCGCGCGGTCATCGGCTCCCTCACCTTTGGCGCCTTCATCCCAACGCTCCTCGCAGCGCTCCCGAGCCCCAGCATCATCACTCCGCGCACCCAGGAGATCCTCCTCGCTGTCTGGCAGGCCTTCCCCCTCTGGTCCGACATCTGGCAGTTGATCTTTGCCCAACTCATCAGCGCTCTTGGCGTGGTTCCTTCAGCCGCAAAGTCGAGGCCGCAGACGAAGATCAATGACTTTCGCAGGATCTACACTTACGCCCTGTCTGTTGTTGCCGTCACGACCTACGGCGTCATCGGTTATGTCTTCTGGAAGGCTGACTGGGCTTCGGAGACCGCAATCGAGGCAATGGTGCAGATTCTTCGTCCCACTTCGCCGTGGTCTCAGGTGAAGATGGTTTCGCTAGAGAGGGGCATCTTGGACTTGCTGCAGTGGGATACGTACTGCGCTTCCTTGGCGACGTGGAGCTGGATTGCCTACTTGGCGTATGGGACGAAGGGCGTCGGGCAGGTTGTGATGGACTTGGGTAAGTTGGTTATGTGGAGTGCGCTTGTTGGGCCTGGCGGCGCGGCGCTTGCTGTTATTTGGGGACGGGATGTCGGGGCTGTCAGCAAGGCGGCTGGCAAGAAGAAGACTGGATAAGGTTTCGATATGCTTGTTCATTCAAGTCTAGATATGTATCAGTTTCGGTCGTGAACAAATGAATTCTTTGGCACGAGAATAGAATTTTAATGAATTTGACGTCCTTCAAGGCTCTGCCAGAGATGCCACGAGGTAGATGAAACATGAAACACCTCCGAGCCAAAACGAGCGTAGGGGATAAGAACCACAAGTACACCATTGACAATCTTATCCGATGATAAGGCCAGTCAACATCTCCGGACGCTCTCCCTTCATTTGAATTATTCGAAACATCTTGCTTTAAGCGGTGCGACTTAGTCGGTCCCTACCAAACCTGAAGTCTGACCCAGACCTAGGCGGCATGCGCTTCTGAGGGGCTATCATAATTTCAACTTGTGCGAACAATTAGCTTTGCCGACTGGATTACATGCAGGTTTAGATGAAAAAAAAACACAAGTACTTACAGCAAAGTGTAAAGAAGAATGTGCTCCAGAAGATGAGAATCACAGGAATCCATGTCGTCAAAACCACAATTTGCCCGAAGCTCCATTCGAGTTGCGGGTCACCCGCTGCGCCGCTGTTGATAGTCTGTTCGCGAAAATCAAAGAAGATTCCGAGTGTCGCGAGCATCATGCCCATCAATATCGTCTGTACGACCCGGAACTCGGCTGCGAGGAGTTGTGCTGGTGGTTGTTCTCCCTTTGCAGCCTTCGAAGGCGTCGACTGTTCCCGCTTTCCAGAGGTTTGACCAAGCGATGAACCTCCCACACCAACGTTTTGAGATGTCTGGTGTTCTTTGTCTCCAATAATTTGAGTTGGCGGCTGTTTCTTCTGTCCACCTGTTCGGTTCGACGATAGTCCATCCTCTTCAGATCTCGGATCCGAATCCGGATCACTTTCTCCAGCCTCAGGAGTCGACGGTACTTCCTTTCCGGCTGTCCCTTTTTTCATATATGTGACTACCAAAACAGTCAAACTTCAGATAGCCATCATGAATACGGTGACACTCACAGACACCTGAAGGAATACCCTCACCCTTCGGTCACTCTGCAGCGTGTCCTGGAGCAACTGTTCGACAACCTTGGGCAGCTGCACGGTTTGCCACACTATCAAGCTGACCAACGTCACAAGTAGAACCCCTAAGAGGGCCAAGACTGCAACAGTGGTCAAAATCACCAGGCCTCGACGTCTTGCTGCTTCCTGAAGCATCAAGCTAGCCATGAATGTGACCTGAATACTGAATAGCGATGCCAGAGCCGAGAGTTGCGAGTCATACACGGTGAGATCTTCGCCAGCCATCCATCGTTCTACTTGTCTGTCTTGTCCGTTGCCTGAGGCGGCAGCGGCGGTATGGATCGAGGCAGTTACTAAGCCTAGACTCAGGAAAACGGAGCTCGAGTAGAACGTTTCCAAGGTCTCTTTAAAAGCACTCATGAGGCTGCGGTAGGTCGACATCCGCCAATCTGGGACGCGGTCTTTTGGCTCTTCTAGGGCCTTCAAGATGCGGTTTCCGGCATAATATTCCACAACCTTGGCGACATAGAAAGCGATAATGAGCCAGGCCTCGATACAGAAAGTGACCATAACCTATATGCACATGTGATTAGCTTCGTAGTTCCTGAAAGTCTGGTTGTTTCAGCTCACCCCAACACCCGCGATATCAGCGTTGCCTTGAATCCCAAGAGACCAGCGGAGCTCGTCGATACACGTCGTGTTTGCCGACTTTTCGAGCTCTAATTGGACTGCGTCTATGAAATCCAAGGCACTCGAAGTTGTTTCAACGTCGCAAGTAGCATTAGCGATCTTTGAGACACAACCACACGCAGATAGGTACCAGGACGCTATCTGCTGAGGTGTGCCGTAGCCAAGCTCTCCCGTAGAATTGGTTTTGAAGGAGGACTGAACCAGATTGGAAAGGGCGTTGATGTGGACATTGCAATAGTCCAATTTCGGAGAGGTGCGGATAATGCTGTTCGCAAAGTTGCCCAGTGACGAACAGTTGGCGGTCACATTCCAAGTCAAGTTTGGCAGCGATGCCCACCAGGGCAAAGTCATGTTGCTGGACATGGCGCCCGGTCGCGGAGTGTGATTAAAGCGGATTTGGTAATAGGGCAGAGAACAGCAGAGAAGAAGAGTCGAGAACAGAGCTCGGAAAGAGATGTCAAGAAAAAGGTTCGAGAGGGAGGTTCGAGAAATGAGATCAAGAGAGTAGATCAAGAACAGGGTTCGAGAAGCTTTCCCAGGAAGAGGGATCGTGAAGAGCTATTAGAAAGGAATGCTAGGAAGGGATACCAAGAGCAGATATCAAGAAGGGGTCTTGAGAAGCAGCGCCAAGAATGGGTATGAAAAAGGAGGATCAAGTATGAGAGTCAAGAAGGAGTATCAAGGAGAAAGATGAAGGAGGAGGATGGAGAGGGAGACCCAGGAGGGAGGGTCAATAGCGCACATCTATCTTTATATATGCTAATGAGCGTGAAATGTATGTGTATATGTGCGCGGGCGTCTTAATGGGTTCCTACAGCAAGTGTACTGTCCAACTCAATGTATCAGGGTGGCCGGCTGCCTCCCGTCTAAGAAGACATTAGCTCAAAGCCGCCGTTATAGCGAGCAATGACATTGTCTTTGGAAAAGAGAGAAAACCTGAATTTCTCGGGTACCTTGCATCCACTGGTGGCGCGCATCACATTGCAGTAGCTTCGTCATGTCCAAAATTAGAGCGAAACAGGGACGATCTAGGCTACGCTTGAGACTACCATCTTTGCCGTACAGTTCCATGGGTTTGTGGCCACAATACATTGACTGGATCGGAGATCAAGTTGTGGAGTTGAGGGCGAGGATTCTGATCTTCTGCTTGCTTCAGTAGCCGCCACAGTCGGACTTATCGTACTTTGACCCCTTGCTCAGCTGAATGAACGACCTTCGTAAGTTGATAGATGTTGACGTCAGGGAGCCGCGGGGGGGGGGGGGGGGGGAAAAGCGGAGGGAAACTCCTGGCCACTGGCCGGGCAAGGGGGAGGAAAACGCCCAGAAACAGAGGGGGGGGGGAAGGGGGGGGGGGGGGGGGGGGTGGGGGGGGGGGGGGGGGCCACCGGGGGGGGGGGGGGGGGGGGGGGGGGGGATAACGAGACGGAAACTACTGGCTACTGACAGGCTCAAGGCGACGAAGAGTCCAAAGACACAGTGTAGTGGGGAAGAGGGGTGGAGGGGTGGGATGTGCCAGGAACGCTTGCGACTACGCGGCGCCGGACACATGCACAGAATGTTCTACGTACCTTCCACACCCTCGCACTCTGCAATCCTAGAATGATTGTGAACTCATGTTCCCGTTCAAAACGCAGCGGTACAGTTAGTGGTGGCGGCCGTTTCACTCCTGGCTGATGGCTGCGCCGATGGTGGGACTGACGAGCCGAAATCCGACAACCTGCTAGGGTTGTGCAAGTGCTTCTCCTCAGCCAATGAATCCCATTCCCCGAGAAGACAGAACATGCCATTGACAAGCCCAGAGCAAGTCATCTCATTTACGTACCTCTCTTCTCCTGCTCAGACATCCAAGTGAACACGCAGCACGGCCCCGACCAACTGGACGTGAAGGAGGATGACCGGTCTGCGGATGTGGCCATTGTAAAGTTGGAATGCTCGAGAGTCCCGCCCACCAGTCCTGACTCCCCCTTCTTCGGCACACCACTATAAGTAACGGCGGTCGCGGGGTGTGCATGGCTGCATGGGCTGCATGGATGGCTACTGGTGCAGTAAATCAGGCTCTCGGGAGTCGGACCCCAACCGATGAAGCTTACTTCCTCTTGGCACCCGGCTGGGCCCCTTCTACGAGGCCAGAACCAACAGACATTCTTTCGGTAACTAGTAGTCCATCACATCGTCAAGAACGCAAAAAGATGAGTTGAGGACGGCCCGACTCGAACGGACAGCCTTCTGGACTGGAATCAGATACGCTACCATTGCGCCACGCCCCCGGACTTTTGAGAAATAAAGCCCTCAATCGAATGAAATGAGCGGAAAGCCAGAATTCTGGAGGTCCCGGGAGCGAAATATTGACAAAGGGGGGCAGGAAGCGTGACGGTTGTTGTTTGTTGCAAGTTGGTATAAGTGAACGCGGGCCGTGTGAAGTCATGAACTAGTGGGAGCTGACCGAGCTCACCGGTGCACGGGCCATATCACAGTGGTCGGAGAATCTTTGGCTCCGCTTTGGTATCGGATTCACCGAGGTGAACAGAAGTGGAACTTTACTTTTCGCGACTCCAGGTTCTTGTCGCATTTTCCATCTAGTTGCTTCCAGCCTTCCGTACTGGTCCTTCCACAACCAGACCACCACCTTTTCTACACCTTTGCAACCAAATCGAAGCAAAGCACTTTCCTCCCTCATCGGAAAGGACCACCTCGAAAAAACGTCAACAACCAAAAACCCACAACCAACCCTCTCCTCCACATCGCGAAACACCTCCCATAAACCACAAAGATGGACTACCAAAACCGCGCCGGCTCCAAATTCGGCGGCGGCGGCGTAGCCTCCTTCAGCGCAACAAACGCAGACCGCCGCGAACGCCTCCGCAAGCTCGCCCTCGAAACAATCGACCTCGACAAGGACCCCTACTTCTTCAAAAACCACGTCGGCTCCTTCGAGTGCCGCCTCTGCCTCACCGTCCACCAAAACGACGGCTCCTACCTCGCCCACACCCAGGGCAAAAAGCACCAGACCAACCTCGCCCGCCGCGCCGCCCGCGAACAGAAAGAGGGGAAACAAAACATCGACCCGGCGACCGGGTTACCCGTCGGCGTCGTCGGCGCCGGCTTCGGCGCGGGAGGCGCGAGGCGGAATTTGATCAAGATTGGACGGCCGGGGTACAAGATTACAAAGATTCGCGATCCGATCACGCGTCAGCAGGGGCTGCTATTTCAGCTCCAGTACCCGGACATCGCGCCCGACGTGGAGCCCAAGTGGCAGGTCATGAACGCCTTCACGCAGCGCATCGAGGAGCCGGATAAGAATTTCCAGTACCTCCTGGTGGCGGCGGAGCCGTACGAGACGTGCGGGTTCAAGATCCCCGCGCGCGAGCTGGATAAGCGCGACGATAAGCAGTTTAGCTTTTGGGATCCCGATGCGAAGGAGTATTGGCTGCAGGTCATGTTCATGTCGGAGCGCGAGGAGAGGTATGTTGCGGCGCCTGGTACGAGGAGGTGAAGTGGTGGGAAGGGAACAGCTGCGTTGTTGTTCGCGGAAAGGGTGTTAGAAAAGGCTGTATAAAAACGACATGACGGGAGGGGTTTCTGCGGCATACCACGAAGGCAGTTCTGCTTCGCTCAGATATAGGATTCACCAGGAGACTATCTCTCATAGTGATCAGGGTTCGTGCCTCGGACAGGATTGAAGCAAACGGTTGTCATCTGGGTCAACTTGGTCAGCAGTGGCCCACATGGCCCTATTCCAGTGACATCAGGGGGTGTCATATCACGGCGTTGGGCGTGGGTAATTCGAGAGAGGGAATTGTTTGTAAGACTTGCTTTTGCTTATCAGGCCCCCGGGCAAGGAAATAGAAGAGCTGACATGAACCTTCAGGAGAGGTTTCGACGTGGCACTGGGCCATGGAGTTTAGCAAAAAGCTTTGGCTTCATAAGTTACATTCAGAGATTCCTATGAAGGCACCTTATTCAACAAGTGCCAATAGTAAGACAAAACAGACAGAATGTAGACCCATCAACAATGAATGTAATCTGACCACAAGTCACTTTCATCAAATAGTGCAAAGTTCGAATCCTGACAGAGGCTTATACAGAAACTTGATGTGGTCCTTCAAGACACTGGGAGAGGAAGAGGCGTTTAGCACTTCCTAGATGGTGGACCTGCAGTCTGCTTTTCGCCTGTGCCAAATTGAATTGAAAGAATGGTGAGAAGTCCGTGGCCAAACAACCTACGTAACTTACTCAAAGACAGTATACACTTGAAGATGTACCGTCTATAGCCACCAGAGGCCGACAATAAAAGCATCACAAACATTATGAACCATCAAGTCCCAAGTCTTGTTCTCAAATGCATCGTCTGGATTGCATCTATCACTTCACTGTTGCCAGTCGTCCTCATGACTCTCTGAATCCCAGTGTCATCCATCACTGATAGATCCAGCATTACCAGTACATCCTGACATCCCCTCCTCACGCTGCCCCCTACTATCCGTCTTCTTCATCATGTTTCTCATAATGAAAACTCTAGTGATCCGCGGCCGTCTCGACTACATACCCCCTTGAAAGACATCTCGTTTTCACCCTCCCATCTACATGATTTGTGCGACTTGGTGTCTTTGATGCGAGTAAACGCCCTGTATGCAGTGATTGAAAACAAAAAACAACGGTAAATGCAAATCTTGTAAGACAAGAATCTGGGTGTATTGGTTTGGCAGTAGGCAAAATGGAGTCGCCAGCGAATCACTGATAGGTATTCTCTTGGTCCTCCGAATCTCCGCGTCTTGCTCGGCATGATATCGGTACACCCCGGGATCGGGATACAAGTCGCAATAAGCTGGCCACCAAAACAATGCGTTTGTCGCGCTTATCGGAAGTTGTTGTCGAACCGCTTGAAGGTGTATCCAATGAAGGGCAAGCTCATCTCGGGAGACTCCTCGACCACCGCTGGCACACCCGAGCGGGCTTGCTGAACGGCCTGAGCCTTGAGAATCGTGGCGTTATCAGTCTGATCAATCTCATCGGTCGGGAAGTACGTGGTATCGATGGCTGAAGTCAAGCGAGGCTCGAAAGGAGCTCTGATGCGACGCAGGCTATCGAACTCAACTCCTCTGAAGAATGAGTGCTGCTTGATTTCGTGGGCGCCCGAGCGACCCAAGCGGTTCTCTGTGTTACAGATCAAGCTGACCCATATTAGTACCCTGAAATGCCTCTGTTCTGAGACTTACTCACCTTCTAATCAGGTTCTCGGCTTCCACACCAAGCTGGATATCATCAGGGAAGTACAGCGTTTGTCTCCAATTGACAATCTTGCGGTATGTGTCATGGCTATCCTCGGCGCAGAAAGGAGGCCATCCAACCAAGCACTCAAACAT